ACAAAAGGTCTTTCAACCTTAAATTGATGGTGTTGGATAGAAACTCTTGGGGACCCGTTATGTTCTGTCTGCCTGCAGTCTTCCGGTGAGGAGAAACAACGAAGGAGCAGGCTCCTGGAATAATCTTTGGAAGCCTCCTAACTCCCTACTCCCTCAATACTCGGCCCTTTCTCTGTGCACACTTTCTCTGCATGGAGATTTCTAGGATACTTTCCTTATGTGCCCATAGACCTGGGCACACAAGCTGTTATCCTCAACCGCAGAATCTCCTGAATCAGATTCTGGAATTGGTCCAACAGATTTTTATCGGTTATTTTCACACTGGTTTGTGTTTGGGCTTTTGATTGTTTTTACTCAAGTGTAGTCTTTTTGTGTATTTTGTTTTCAGAACTTTAGGGGTGGGGAAAGAATGAAGTGGGTTCTTTGCCTCTGCCTTTGTTATGCCTGTGTTTCATCTGTGTAATGATTGTCTGTTCTTTGTACTTTATCATTGTAGCCGTTTTCTGTCTGGGACCTGAGGACCTGGTGCTGTTGTTGTTGTTGTTGTTGTTGTTATGTGCCGTTGAGTCGTTTGCAACTCATAGCGACCCTATGTACAACAGCCCTAAACTCTGCACTGTCCTGTGCCAATCGCACTGTCTCCAAAACACCCATCCCGATTACCCCAGTCACAGAATCAGTCCACCTTATTAAGGATCTTCCCGTCCTGTACTGTCCCTCCACCCTCCCAAGCATGATGTCCCTCTCCGTCCCTCCTACCAACATGTCCAAAGTATGTCGGACGAAGCCCCAGAATCCTTGCCTCCAAGGGGTAGCCTGGTTTAACCCTCTCCAGGATGAATCTGTTTGTTTTCGTGACAGTCCATGGTATTCTCAGTACTCTTGTCCAGCACCACAGCTCGAAGGCATTAATTCTCCTTCTATCCTCCCTAGTCATTGTCCAACTCTCTGATGCATAACAAGTGATTGCAAAAACCATGGCCTGCATCAGGCGCACCTTAGTCTCCAGAGAGACACTGTTGCTCTTGAGTACCTTTGAGAGGTCCCTAACGGCAGACTTTCCCATCGCGATATGCTTTTTGATTTCCTGGCTGCTGGTGCCACGAGTGTTGACCGTGGAGCCGAGCAAACTGAAGCTGTGAACAGTCTCAATCTCTTCGCCATCCATCCTGCTGCCGCCAATTGGTCCAGTGGTGAGAATCTTTGTCTTCTTGACATTGAGCCTCAGTCCATACTGAAGGCTGCAGTCCTTGACCCTCTGCAGCAAGTGCGTGATAGTAGCTTTTTGTAAATCTATACTTTCCACAGACTCTCAAGGACCTTAGTTTCCCATTAATTAAGACTTCACAGCTGGTCTTCTGGGTCTTAAGAAGTCTCATGTCTGCTCCCTGGTTCCTTGGGACAAGTCAGCGTGCTTGTCTGGGAAGCTGTTTTCAGCTGACTTCTCCCTGAGTGTTCTCAGAGCAGTATTCTTGACTTCACATGCTGACAGTCCACCCACGCACAGTGGCTTCAGAAAGTCTCCCTTGCCGTGGACACTCTGTAGGAATCATTGGTAAGCAGAGGTCCTGATGAACCACAACAGGCTCTTCTGTGGTCATTCACAGTCCTCCGTCATTTAATGAGAGAATGATAGATGTTGTTTGCTAGTGCACCAGACAGCCTCAGAAAACTTAGAGCGCTGTTATTTCCTGCTGGATGGCAGTGAGTTAATTAGTGTTGAGTTCTTGCATTACAGTCGAAAAGTAAAGGTCACTCTTTCTTGAGAAATATCAGAAATACTGAAATTTAAGTTCTTGGAGTACAGTTTTCCTAAATTCCCTTGAGCATGAGGTATAGTTCTACTGAGAGGCTTGTTGTTCTGTGCCATTGAGTTGCCGGTGACTCATGGCAAACCTGTGTACAACAGCACCAAACCCTGCTCTATCCTGTGCCAATTGCACTGTCTCTGACACACACACCCCAAGTACCCCAGTTGGTCCATCACATCGTTGCAAACCGGACGCAGAAAGAAAGCAGGGGCACGGGGAAATGAGTTCAGAGAAAAGAGGGAAGGCTGAGGCATGGCACTGTGAAAAGGCCCCTTTTTTAGTCTCTCTCTGGTTTTTATTTCCTTTAGGCCAATCATCCTCCAAAAGGTTCAATCTCTGGAGACTATATTTTTCCTTGAAACTAAAGTGCTGCCAACATAACAATGGTTACGCTTACTCTTTAAACTTCAGACCAAAGCTCAGACGTGGTGTCCCCTCGGGTGGAAGGCTGGGTGGAATTCCCTGTTTGCAGAGGGCCTCCAGTATCTCCTCCAGGGGTCTGCGCGGAATTACCTGTTTGCAGAAGGTGCTCAGTCCTTGTCCTGGGATCCTCTGATCTCAGCTGTGGTGCGGCTATCACTATGCTGGAGAACCACAGTCTTCCTCTCCTGTACTGTCCCTCCACCCTCCCAAGCATGACATCCCTCTCCAAGGACTGGTCCCTCCTCGCAACATGTCCAGAGTATTTCAGATGAAGCTTCAGAATCCTTGCCTCCAAGAAACAGCCTGGTCGCACCCTCTCCAGGACAAACCTGTTTGTTCTCTTAGCAGACCATGGTATATTCAATACTCTTCTGTAACACCACAGCTCAAAGGCATCAACTCTCCTTCTGTCATCACTAGTTATTGTCCAGCTCTCTGATGCATAGCAAGGCATTGCAAACACCATGGCCTGGATCAGGTGCACCTTAATCTGTAGACTGACACCATTGCTCCCCAGTACTTTGGAGAAGTCTGTGACAGCACACTTTCCCAATGCAGTTTGTCTTCATTTCCTGGCTGCTGGTGCCAAGAGTTTGTATTGTGGAGCCAAGCAGACTAAAGTTGTCCCCAATCTCAGTCTCTTTACCATCTATTATGATGCTGCCAATCGGCGCAGTGGTGAGAATGATTTTTTTAATATATATATATGTTGAACTTCAGTCCCCATTAAAGGCATTGACTATGCAAAGGGAAGAGTAGTAACAGACAGTTGATAAGAAGCATGGAGTCAGTATTGTCCACATGTTTGTCCTGCTGCTTTAAGTCCATGATTTCCAACATCAACAGCTCCTCCTCTGTTCATTTGCCTAACTACTCTCTGTCTCCTGGGTTCAGTCGTCCACTGTAAGGTCTCCCAGAGACCAGACCCATCAAACGAATAACTCCCTTGACTGGAGAGATAGAGGCTGGTAGTACAGAGACTGGTGAGCAGTGGTCCAGGCTGACTGCAGCTGCATAGTGTGTCCCAGACTAGCAAGCGTTCCAAAAGACTGCTTGAGTAGCACTGAGGTCTCAGGACCTTCTGTGATCCTTTCACAGGGTGGGACGAGTCTCCTGTCTTAATGCATCTTCTTCAGACAACAAATACATAAGCAGAAAACAGGCAGTTACTGATTGTCTAGGAAACACATCTGAATGATAATCCTTAGACACCCAGACTCAGGTTATTTCAGCAGGTGGTAAATCTGAGCGACAGGGTTCAATGAGATTGTACACAGTGAAGAAATAAGGACTGAAGTTTGAGACTCTTTCAGTCTTCTTTTCTTTTTTGCATAGGTCTTGGTAGAAACTAAAATCTTGTGTCCGGTCAGTGTGGTTTCTCTGTTTTTAGCTCTCTCAGGGTCACGCTTTGTTCTTATTCTTGTTGGTGAAGTTGGTACCTTGCTGATTCTTGTTGGTGAAGTTGGTACCTTGCTCATCGAGTATATGTTGTGTGTTTTCAGGCACTGTTGTTCCTCCAGGACGTGGTCATTCTTTTCAGCCAGAAAGAGTGGGCTTTGCTGAATGACGCTCAGAAGAAACTCTACGAGGACGTGATGATGGAAATTTTGAGAAACCTGGACTTAATAGGTACAAATAGCATTTTCTGTATTTTCTCCGTATTTTTAATGCACACAATATTCACTCATGAACCTTGCTTTTGAAGTTGGACTGGAGAATGGGAATATAAGGTTGATGAAAAGCGGCAAAATTTCCTTGGCATTTGGCACTCACGTGTGAGGAGAATTACTCATTTATGTGGCCTCTGTGTCTGATAGTACCTGTGTTCTTCGTGGCATTAAAGGGACTCAGTTCTGTAATACTCTTAATTGTACACATCATTTTCATAGGTTTGAAGTCAGAGAAAAGTGTTATTGGAACAGTGGGAATAGCTCTCACGTAGGGGCCCCTGTTTTTGGCCCCAACTGTCAAATTGTGAAGTCACTGACCGTCTTTGACATGAACCAAGGAGAAAAAGGGACTTTTGTTGTCCTGATTGGTAATAGGCTGCTGCACTGCAATCCCAAAGGTACACAGTTTTGGGCCATCAGCTGTTGCACAGGGGCTCGAGTGTTGGCCAGTCTCCTCCCGTGCGATTCACTGCCTCTGAAGACCTCCTGATGGGTCACTTTCAAGTCTTTACTTCATAGCCACAAGAAGTTGTCTTTTTGATTGAGAACACAGTTGATCCGATCATTGCTGGTCTTTTTTGAGTCTACAGACCTGTTGAGGGTGAAAATTGTGCCTATGTTGGTCTTTGTTCAGTGCAGTCTGTCCCTTACTCTTTTTGTTTTCATAGAATCAAACTTAGTTTTCTTTTTGCTGCAGGCAGTCTGAACGTGCATGATGGAGAAACCATTTCCCCTGAGTGTACACAGTTGAAATTTTTAAAGACTCCCCCTCCCTGGCATTCAGGAAGAATGTCAAAACTCCGTGACAGAGAAGATCTACATAGAAACCAAGAGGACAGTTTGAGGTGAGTATCATTCAGGTGGAAAACAAATCCTTGTAGCAAACATAGGAACTTGGAGACAGCCGTCAGAAAGTCTCGTGATTGATGAAACCAATTGCAGGACCAGTATTTTGGCTAGACTACGATATGTCAGTGTCATTGAGGGAACACTTAACGCGTCTTCTTCATCACGGATAAAGGGGAACATACTGATTCACAGCTGTGTGTTGTCTGTCTTGAGCAGAAATCCCACAGGAGAGGATCTTTGTGAAGGGATGGAGGACAGCCACCCTGGGAAAACCTTCAGCAGAATTTCAAATGTTTCCTACGGGCCAAACAGTCGTCTGCAGGTTGACTTTCTGAGGACTCGCATTGGTGAGAGCAGCTATGAATGTCACAGATGTGGACAACATTTCTGTTCCTTCTCCGCATTTTGGATGCATGTGGTAGAAGCGCATGAATGGGCACAAAGCTCTGAAAACGATATTAATCCTTTGGTTTTAGCTTCTCGTAAAGCATTTACTTTTCCACGTAAGCTTTGTGAATCTACAACAAATGGGAGAGCCATTCCTTCTTCCTCACGCCTTCAGCGTCCAGCAGACGTCACAGTAGGTGGAAGCCTTCCCAGTGTAGAACGCCCTCACTCATGTCAGATATGTGGAAAAGCCTTCAGATTTTCCTCAGGTCTAAAGAAACATACAAGAACACACACAGGTGAGAAACCTTATGAATGTCAGGAGTGTGGGAAAACATTTTCACAAGTAAGTCCCTTACAACTCCATAGAAGAATGCATACGGGCGACAGGCGCTATAAATGCCAGGAGTGTGATAAAGCCTTTTATGAGCTGAGCAAACTTCGCAGACATCTGAGAATTCACACAGGAGAGAGACCTTACCAATGTCAAGAGTGTGGGAAGACATTTCAGCAAGCCGGGACCCTCACTTTACATAAAGCAGTTCACACAGGAAAGAGACCGTATGAGTGTCACGAGTGCGGGAAAACGTTCTCACAGTTGGGTCATTTGCGGACACACAGAAGAATACACACGGGAGAGAAGCCCTATAAATGTGACGCGTGTGGAAAAGCCTTTTACGGCTCGAGCCAGTTCCATGCGCATAGAAAAATTCACACGGGAGAGAGACCTTATGAATGTAAGGACTGTGGAAAAACATTTCGGTGGCCCTCTGACCTCGTTATCCACGCAAGGGTTCACACAGGAGAGAGACCTTATGAATGTAAGGACTGTGGAAAAACATTTCGGTGGCCCTCTGACCTCGTTATCCACGCAAGGGTTCACACAGGAGAGAGACCTTTTGAATGTCAGGAATGTGGGAAAACCTTTTCCTATCGGGGTCCTTTCAATAACCATCGAAAACTTCACACGGGAGAGAAACCCCATGAGTGTACGCAGTGCGGGAAAACCTTTGCCCAGGCGTCTACTCTCACCGTACATATTAGAATTCACACCGGAGAGAAACCTTATGAGTGCAAGGAATGTGGGAAGACCTTCACGCAATCCAGTGGTCTCATTACACACAGAACAATTCACACAGGAGAGAGACCTTACGAGTGTAAGGAATGTGGGAAGACCTTCAAAGAACCACACACTCTGGCAATCCATCGAAGAATTCACACAGGTGAGAGACCTTACGAATGTAGGGAATGTGGGAAAACATTTGTCCAAGCCGGTCAGTTCAGCGCACATAGAAAAATGCATGCAGGAGAGAAGCGTCTAAGGAATGTGGAAAACATTTCTGCCATCCGGTGAACTCAACTGAACAGAGAAGAATTCATATAGAAGAGAGAGCTTTCATCAGTGTAAGGAATGTGGTCAGACTTTCAGTGAATCAAGGAATGTGGTCAGACTTTCAGTGAATCAGGGACCAGCCCCTCACAGAGAGAATTGACACAGAGAGAGACCTTAGGAATGTTAGGACTGTCAGAAAAGTTTTCCTTGTCTGCTGAACTAACTAAACATGCACGAATTTATGCAGGTGAGATAATCTTATGAATGTCAGCAATGTGGAAAACTGTTTTCACAATTAAGTACCCTCATTGGACATAGAAGAGATCACCCAGGAGACAGGACTTAGAGAAGAGAAACGTATTGTGACTCTGGTACGGGAATTAATCTATGAAGAGATCACCTAAGATGACCATCTGAATGGAAAGAATGTTTGGCGGTCTGTCCCCAAGCAGATACCGTCAGGAACATACACGGATTCACGTAACAGAAACCTCTTAAACTGTGAGCAATTGAAGACACAGTTTATCTCCTCCTCCCTGGATTTGTTTCACTGTGGAGACAGGCTGCATGAATGGAAGATATATAGAAATGTGTTCAGTCAGTCTGCCCTCACTGGGCACCCAAGAAATCACACTCGATAAAACAGATGACTCTGAAAACCATGAAACAATTAGTCTTCATGGTCATGTCCTGTTCTGTCTTGCAGAGTGAGATATTTGCAGAGGTTTTTATATTTGTCCTGTGTGTGGGAAGCCTTCATTGTTGGTTGAAGTGGCATCTATTTTGTACCACTGTGTTAAATTGATCTTTTTTTGTGTTCTTTTTTTTTTTTTGCAAATGTGGGGTTTTGCAATGATCATTGTTTTCCCAAAACCATATCAAAATTTTTCTTAAATTTATAAAAGTCTGGAGTCCTGGTGGCTAAGTGGCAAGAAGCTGCACTGAAATCCCAGAGCTCTGCCGTTCAAATCCACCAGATGCTCTGCTGGAGAAGGAGGAACAATTTCCTCCTGTCCCAGTGAGATCCGATTTGATGGTACAGACACACATAATAGGAAATTTAAAAAAAGTTATAAAGTCATTGACTCTTGGAGGAAATATGACTGGGTAATTGCCTTTTTATAAATGTTCATGTTTGTAATTGGTTTTTTTTTCTCCCTGCAATTAATAAAGATCTCATTTGTGCAAGAGGTTTTGTGTCATTTTCTTTTCTTGTTGGTCGAATGTGGACTGTTGTTAGGCTTTAGTCTCTTTCAGGGTGATTTTTGGTGAGCGTGGAATTATTCTGCTTTGCAT